CAACTAGTCTATGAATGTATCCCTCAGCTTCGTTCAGCATTTATTCGTCGGCGAGGTAGATCGGGTATTGCGCTATTAATGAAAAGGATTTTCATTTTAAAGATCATCGGTGTTTCACAGCAACAGTTGTATAGGCTCTTTATAAGAGATATGGATATACCTGGGTTCAAAATTTAGAGTTTATTTAATATTAATTTAACCCCTGATAGAACGCTGACAAAAAGGCAAGTTTTTGACAAAATATCTTAGATACTTGAGCAGATTTGTCAATTAATACAACCTGTTGTTTGAAAGGTAATATTTACTCAACTTGAATGTATTAACTTAAGAGAGTTTGGCGTCTACGTCACATTAGGTGGATAATTTGTAGATTTTTATTATAAAACGTGGCCATCATTTCTATGTCACGTGACTAAGAGGAGTTCGAGAGAGATTTCTTGATTTACACTTTCCTTTGTTTAAGGTTGTTTAGAAAAGTAACGTCCTTCATTAATTCAGAAAGAATTAAATAAAGATCAGTAAAACCAGAGATGGCTAGGTTTTGGTGTTCTCATATTGACTTGCTTTCATTGTTAACGGCATATTTCATTAACTGCATGGAGGTATCAACATGATTAATTTGAAATTCTATCAAGACACAATTTAAAATGATTCACTCTTAGGTGAGATTACATAAAATATGCATTATGTTGTCTGAGTCAACACTTCTACTTCACATTTATTGATCCTGTCGGGACGTCTTAGCCTAGTTTTCTCATCTACCCTGATGAATCGAAAAGGTGTTTTTAATTCAATGATCGCCTGATGTTCTATGTGGTGCACAATATTACAAAACATGATATTACCGATTTAAATTAATAAAACCTCTGACAATCGACATGCCCTTCCCATTTTATCCAATATAAAAGCACGAGAGTTTGGAGGTAAACGACAGTATAATAAATATATAATCTATTCTACCCCCCGTCTCTGTTGACACAGCTCGAGTAATGTATTTGATCACATTAACAAGTGCAGTTGTAGTAAAATTCGAACATTAAAGGTGCACTGGCCACAATACTTTTGGTCAGATTTACCTATTAATTAAGTTTGATTTATCAACGAGGTCAAGTGGGCGTTGACATTGCTTGTCTTTTGATCTTTAAAAATCAAATGTAACGTACACTTATCTACTTTTAAGATATTATTAAAGATTCACACATAATCCTTTGTCAACTTACATGGGATATCTCCCTCGAGAGAGAGAGACGGGTTATGGAACAGGTAAATCACCCGTGACCTCTTTGAGAAAACTTAGATATGGGCGTATTACATTTCCGCAAATATTGAAAATGTCATTTTTACGTTTTGTTATATTTCTGCAAAATAATATATAGAGCTCTGTTATTGTACATAAACTAAGCACTACGTACTGTAAGAGTTATTTTCCCTCTTTGTTAATTTCGCCCTTTCACGCTTGCAAGCAATTTAGCCCCCATTTTAAATTCGCCCAAACACAACTGTTTTCTTTGAATTCGCCCACTTGCAACGAAGGCGAAAGGGCAAAGACAAATTTGACATTCTGTGTAACGAATATGCAAAATATATGAAACACAAAATTGCCAGGACTGATTTTTGAGGACTGTTGGGTATCCAAATTTGGTGCCCGAACAGACATGTGATCATGAAATGTTCTGGCACCATAATTATAGTAACTTTCAAACAAACATATTATAGAGAATATCTTCAAGGGCTTAAGCTACAGCTATCAAAATGTTAGAACTGATTTTTGATGAACTATAATAATATTATTATACACGATGTATTAACTTTCAAGCGCTCATTTTTATGCAGTGCTACAAAGTGCTAATTTACATGTATCACTATGCCATATTCAGGCACGTAGTATCGTTTAAAAATGGGGGGGGGGGGAGCAAAAATATCTAAATGAAAAAACTTTGAAAAAAAAAGAAAATTGTCCAAAGTCGATAATCCAATATCGGGAGGGGGAGGGGAGGATCCAACTTTTGTTACAACCAATTTACATTACTACATTAGCGTTATTTCACAATACTGTAACAAAAAGGGGGCAAACGGTCTTTCAATGAACATTTTCAACGGGGGGGGACCCCCTCCCCCATACTACGTGCCTGATATTTTACAAGTGCTATTTTACTAGTAATGATATGACTTTTTTCTTTAAATATAAAGTTTACAGCAAAATTAGGTAATACATGACACAAAAACTGAAGGTCATGGAATTGTCGTACCCTGAATGAAGGTTATTTGGACAAGGTCAAAATGCTGGATTGTTCATCCCCCCCCCCCCAATTATTATCATCTACACATAGGCGCAAGGGCTGCATTACAAACCAGTATCAATTGAACAGGGTCAAGGACATAAAAATTAGAAGTGGAAATTTCTTATGAGATAGGATCTAATATCTCATTTTTATACCCCCACTTCAAAAAGCGGGGGTGTATAGTGATGGGGGGGGGGGTCCGTCTGTTACGCCTTGGGGTACCCATTTCTTAACCGCAACTCCTCTAATATCACTAAATAAAATTTAACGAGAATTTCACAGAATCTTTATTACATAGTGCCATTGTGACCTCCTATTTTACTTTTTGTTATTTTTTCCCAAAGAAAAACATAGACACTGTCATTCTTTTTATAAAGTGGGGGGGGGGTTCACTAATCTGCAGCTCCTCCTATAACACCGATTAAAATTTACTGATGCTTTCACAGAATCTCTATTAAATAGTGCGATTGTGCACTTCCTTCTTCATGATTTGATCGGACAGGTATTTGGGCTTTCCCATAGCAAGAAATGGACTTTGTCGTTACAATAATATTGGAGTGGGGGTATCATTTTGTGAGCTCGGTGCTCAAAATATATCTAGTTTATATATGGTGTCGTTTATTTGGACATGTTCCAAAATTACGAAAGCCCATTGAGCTCATTTTCGTAGGTAACAAAAATATATTTTTCGCGTTATAACGCGAAACTTTCGCGAATAAACGCGTAACTTTCGCGTTATAACGCGTAACTTTCGCGTTATAACGCGTAACCTTCGCGAATAAACGCGTAACTTTCGCGTTATAACGCGTAACTTTCGCGAATAAACGGTAAACTTTCGCGTTATAACGCTAAACTTTCGCGAATAAACGCGTAACTTTCGCGTTATAACGCGTAACTTTCGCGAATAAACGCGAAACTTTCGCGTTATAACGCGAAATTATACATATATAGTCATGTTACTCAGGAACCTGTGATCTTGACTGACAGATAAAAAACATGAACGCAGAGGGGGACTTCTATGAATTTATAAATGACATATCTTCAGAATTGATGCGAGAAATGGATAGATTAGTGTTGATTTTCCATTTAATCTCAAAACCCTACTAATTAATTAAATGAATATTCCTTTAAAGATTTTCTTGTTTTTCACTTGTTGAATCCAAGAAATTCTGTAGACTAATTTTTTTTCTCAGGAAGATCTCCACTCGTTGCTTTCTTTGAATAAATTGTCAATGTTTTCGTAAGTAATGGTATGACCAAATGGTGCAACCTTAAAATACAACGTTGTATTTCTTCAGTGAGTCTATACGAGATGAAATATTTGATACGAATATTTGTCATCCAATTTTCACATTAGGTTACTCATGTGATGTGACACAATTGTTCCGTGAAATACAAATTCACCTCATTGTTGTCAATTTTCTGAGATCTTTTATTTCAAATTCTATAGAGAGTGTTCAATCTAATTAAAATTAGACTTGTATTTTCGCTCCTCTACTATACGCTTCAAATCTTGTATTGAACAGCATTGAGAAAGACAAAATGTGACGGCAAAAAAGATTTAGAAAGAGGAAAGACACATTCAATGGTGAGAAAACATAAAATTTCAGCTCGTGATAATCCAAGTTCAAAATAGTCTTTCGCTTTTCACTGTAATGAATAAACTAGATCATTAAAAAGTAAAACAAACTGTAGACTTATGCAAATGTCTCTGTTTTACAGGGAAAGTTTCGCGTTATAACGCGAAAGTTACGAGTTTATTCGCGAAAGTTTCGCGTTATAACGCGAAAGTTACGCGTTTATTCGCGAAAGTTTCGATTTATAACGCGAAAAATATATTTTTTTATCTACGAAAATGAGCTTTCGTACAAAATACCCTTTAGGAACATACAACAGCTCACTAATTTCATGACAATGCATATTAACTGCAAGAAAAACTAGAGGTACTGTGAGCACTGAGCTCACAAAATGATACCCCCGCTCCCACATGAGTATAATGGCAAATTGTATGTAAACGAGATTCTGTGAAAATTCCATTGAATTTCTTTCAGTGGTATAGGAGGAGTTATAAACAAAATGGGTACCCCTTTTATCAAGTATAATGGCAAAGTTAATGTTTTTCTATGGAAACCCTAAATATCTGTCCAATCAAAATGTAAAATAGGAGGTGCAAAATGGCAATAATGGTTCTGTGAAAATAAATTGCAAGAGGAATTGCGGACAAGTGATGGCAAATCCAATTGTACCAAGAATGGCAAAATCGATGTTTTGCAATGGGAAACCCCAAATATCTGTCCAACTGAACCCTAAAATAGGAGATGCACAATGGCACTATGTAATAAAGTTTCTGTGAAAGTAAGAATGGCAGTTTCCTTGTTTTGCTGTGGGAAACCCCAAATATGTGTCCAATTGAAACGTAAAACAGGAGATGCACAACGCCATTGTGTAATAAGATTTTGTGAAAGTTTCATTAAATTGAACCCAGTGGTGTAAGAGGAGCTGTAGATAAGGGATGGCTATCCCCAAGTGTAATGGATGGACATCCCCATCCATATCACTATGTATAACCCACTTTTCAAGGGGGGTGTTAGTGTTGTTTTTTTAAGTGGATAAAGATCGTGTTATTATTGAGATCTAAAGGAACTCTTTTTCTACCACCTTTTAATGGCTGAAAAATACTGATAGTTGCCCTTAACCTAAATAAGGAAAGCAAAGTGGTAAGTTCTCAAAATTCTTTATTCAATATTCTGCTATATATTAATCAGTTCACTACACTCTGAAAATATATTCCAGTACATACAGAAAACATGAGTAAAACATTTTTGAATTCTCTGTAAGCGGAATTATAGAGATTGATATCTTGAGTATTGCATTAAATAGTAACCAACAAAAATATAACATACATGTATCTATAGGAAACATTAAAATATATAACAAAGAACACTCAGGCAACACTAAAGAGGTTCCGTACATTGCAGAAATTATAATGAACACAACAGAGAAACTGAAATAAATATCACGTATACCAGGGAAAAAACTTGACTTAGGCCATCTTTAAAAAATTGTTTGATTGCCTCCCCCTCCCCCCCCCCCCCTTCTGCATTATGCATTCTGGAAAAAAAGAAAATTCAACTTTGAAATTAAAATTTTGTAGGGAAAAATTTCTCACCTACCTACCGACCCAATCTTTTCATCCTGAGTCAGGAGAGGACAACAAACTTCATTTTAAAGTTGACCTTAGTGACACAATTTTCACCAGAAAACATGCATCTCCCCTTTTAACAAAGAAAACAGAAGATAGCTACCATTCAGAATTCTACCATGAAAAATCTCCCTTATCTCCCTTATCTTTAGTCATAAAAAAAAAGTTCAAACAAAAATCATTATCAATCTCTTGCCTTCTTAAAATATATTCCCTTAAATGTAAAAAAAAAACAAACACTTAAGTAAGCAAATACATACATTCAGAGTAAGTTATAAATCTGCCAGGGTAAGGGTGGGGGGAATGTATACAGAATCTGTTGTCCTGCAAGTAGGTTTACTGATACATACAATGGCATGTTTATCAGTTATCTACAGAAAGAAATTTATTGTTATTATTACAAAAACAAATACATATATATATCTGATGTAATACACCATACTGTAATTAGTAATAACATGTCTCTGAGTATAATAATTACAATGCCTTTGTTTACAGTAAAATTTTCAATATCTTGATGAGTATTAAGAAAATGTATTAAAACACATCATACAATGTACATACTTACGGTAAATTGATGAACTTGATAACTGTTGGTTTCCTTTATTTTACCAACAAATTTGCATATTATCTGAGCAAGGAGTTTTAAAAATATAAATTGAAAACAACAATTTTTAAAACAAAAACAAAACAAAAAACAAACAATTGTATTATTATCATATACAGTAAGTGAAAACTTTAACAATCATCTAATTTTAGCATTATTGGCGATGATTTTAAATATCACACCTCTGCACGAGTTATCTTTCTTGGCACTTGAAGAATAGGTCAATTTGAAACAAATTAATAAATCTGAATTGCCAAATTAATTGCAATTGCACTCTGTTTTGGGGGAAATTTCATCCCATATTATTTCCCTCCTTTTACCCCTCCCCAGTGGGAAAATATAAAAGAGAGTTAATTTGCTTAACATGAAATAAAACTAAATAACAAAATTAGCTGCAGGTGAATTAAAATATGGTGAGTAAATTTCCGAGCTTTCAATATCAAAAACTTTCAATATCAAAAGTAGTGTACTTGTGTAACAGTCTGATGATAAAAAAATCTTCACTATCTGATGTTTAACTATCTGATGTTTCGCTTGGTGAGAAACACATGAATGCCATTCTCTGCCTTCAACACAGGGCCAATCTTCTTCTCTACAGTAAAGTTTGGGTCCAATGTCACAGTGAAACTGGAAACGAGAAAGAGAGAAGCAAAGTAAATAAGTCTTATTTCGAATAAACAAACAAAAGTCATTTGATATTGGAAATAACCCAGAAACATACAAAACAGTCCTGCACAATTGTTGAGTTTTTAAATTGTTGAATTAAGAAGAAATGACTTACTTCCTTAATATTCTTGACAAAATCACCTTTTCTTCATTTAATGCAAAGTGCTGCCCAATACAATTCCTAAATTAATATGAATATATAACATTTCAGATGGATTCTTCCTATATTAACAGAGAATAATAGAAAACATAAAATGGTAATTCATGGGTATAAAAATTTACCTTGGACCTGCAGAAAATGGTATGTAAGAAAAATTATCTATGTTGGAAATATTCTCCCTGGAGAAGCGTTCTGGAAGATATTCATCTGGATTATTCCAAACTTCAGGATTGTGATGGGCACTATTTATAGCTATAGTGAAGAGAGTGTTTGGTGGGAAATCTTTGCCATCAATGGTTATTTCCCTTGGCACTAGTCTCTGGATGATTGGCACCGTTGATGATGCCCTCAAAGATTCTTTCAGGCACATGGTCAGATACTCCAAATTAGGCAAATCCTCCCTTCAAGTGTTAGTTGGAAATAATCAGTACTTCAATTAGTTTTGTTGGATTACAGTCAAAGTTCATACAACAGTATTTTATGAATAACGGTATATATCAATATTGCTAAATTACATTTTTTTGATGGAAGTACATGTACCATACTGAAAGTTTTATTATTTAAAAGAATTTACTTCTTCAAGCAAAAACAACCAATATGAAATTTTATAATTTTTTTGTTTGTAACCTTATTAACTGTTACACCTTATATCTCAGCTCATTGTTTACCGACCATTGGACATATTCAGTTGATTTTGATATCCATATTGTGTCCAGCTCCTGTTGGACCTTCTGCTGATAGTTCTGATGCTGGGCCAACAGATAAAGTAACCAGCTGATAGAGGAGGCAGTAGTATCATGTCCTGGAACACATCAGAGATACAGTGTATAAATAAATCATGTAAGATTACATGTCCATTCAAATTAAGGTGACTGATAATAATTTTTTTTTAATTGTATCAAGAATTAGAAGAGCAGAACCATTCTATTTAACTTACAAAATCTACTGTAAAACCAACTTTTATTCGTGTGCAAGAAATATCCACGAGTTCCGCGACCTACGTTAGCTCACAAATAATAATCCCCTTGAACCATTTATTTTGCTTTGTATTTGTAGAGAATGTTTCCTCAGTTGTGAAAATTAATCCTTGCAGATTGATTTCAAACTGACAAATCGGGAATAAAAGATGACACGAATAATAGTTGGTTTACAGTATTTGATAGAAATTTGATTTTTTTTTTCAAATTTGAAAAAAATCATGAGCTTTGGCATTAAGCAAGTCTTAACAAAAATATTTTAGGATACCTTCGAACAGAAATGTATCAACTTCATTTCTGATCTCAGCATCAGTCAATTTATTTCCATCTTCATCTTTTGCTTGCAGTAAGAGATCCAGAAAATCTAAGTATGGTCGCTCACCCATTCCATCTAATTGATCCTAAGTATGTGAATCCATAAAAATTTGAGATTTTAAAATACTGTACACAAAATTCTTAAAATATTAAAAGCAATGTAGAAAAAGAAATATTATTAATGATCAAATCAACTTATTTTAATTATTTCTTTCTCATATTCCTTGGACCTTGCCCTTTCCTTGACCAAAATGAAATTACCTTTACCCTAGGAGGAGTAGTTTAAAGTTATGTTGAACATCTCGAATAAACCTCTCTCTGAGGTTATCAACTTATAATTTTTTAGAAAATAAAGGAAAGAATTTATTTTCGAGTCTTGTTTGATGTGAGTTACCATAAACATGCCTTGAACAAACTTCAATCTGTTTTATATGTGTTTGATTACATTTTAATATGACTAATTATGGACTAGCTTGCTCTCTTAAGAAAAATACTTTTGTGAATAAAATTTTGTATGAATAAAAACATATACTTTTAAAGATTTTTCTCCTACAGATTCCCATGTATATCTTTGATCCCATATTTATAATCCTATCTTGCCCGAAGGTGCAAGGATTTGATCAAAATCTGGAACAACAATATATGAAGATGATTTTATAGATAAAAAAATTACCCTATACTTCTTTACGTTTTTCTTTTAATTATCTTCTATATATTTTAACTACATTTTCCAAGTACAAGAGGCCCATGGGCCTTGAATCGCTCTTCTGATAAACTGTACAACCTATCACTTCTATTTGAAGCCTTGAAGTATCCTGTATATTTAGATAAACTCTTGAAATTCCAATTCACACTCTGAGAACCCAAGATGATTCTAAGCCAATTAGTACCTGAGAGTTGGTCATGGTGACCTACTTATCACTTGTCATTCTCTGAGGACCCATCAACTAAGTTTGATGATTCTAAGCCAATTAATAAATTTAATTAATTTTTTAAAATTATAATCATAAAATTTTATAAGTAGGTCAAAGTGACCTACTTTTCAATTGTTTTACTCCAAGGACCCAAGATGCATCAACTGACAAAGTTTGATGATTCTAAGCCAATTAGTACCTGTAATATTTAATTAAAGCCATAAATTTTCAAAAGTAGGTCACCGTGACCTACTTTTCAGTTGCTGTACTCCGAGGACCAAAGATACATCGACTGACAAAGTTTGATGATTCTAGCCAATAAGTACCCAAAATATTTAATTACAGCCATAAATTTTCAAAAGTAGGTCACATTGACCTACTTTTCAGTCAACCTACTCCGAGGACCAAAGATGCCTCAACTGACAAATTTTGACGATTCTAAGCCAAATAATTCCTGAAAATATTAAATACAGCCATAAAATTTCAAAAGTAGGTCACCGTGACTTACTTTTCAGTTGTTGTACTCCGAGGACCCAAGACCCATCAACTGACAAAGTTTAATGATTCCAAGCCAATTAGTACCCGAAATATTTTATTAAAGCCATAAATTTTCAAAAGTAGGTCACCGTGACCTACTTTTCAGTTGTTGTACTCCGAGGACCCATGACACATAAACTGACAAAGTTTGATGATTCTAAGCCAATTAGTACACGAAATATTTAATTAACGCCATAAATTTTCAAAAGTAGGTCACGGTGACCTACTTTTTAGTCGACCTACTCTGAAGACCCAAGATGCATCAACTGACAAAGTTTGATGATTCTAAGCCAATTAGTACCCGAAATATTTAATTAACGCCATAAATTTTCAAAAGTAG